TTTCTACCGCGAGCAAAACAAAGATCTTTCAAAATTGGGTATGTGATATTTCGTATTTGGAAATGACTCAACCAAGTAATATTTACCCATCCCAATATAATAATAAGTAATAAACTAAAAAAAAATGAATGTGGTTGATAAATTTATGAGCCTAGAGGTGGGTGAGCAAAGTCGTGTGCTCGGTTTCTCGTCGCAAAAGAAAAAAAAATACAATTATCATGTGCACAACCTTCCAATCAGCCATCACAAAATAAAACATATGTTGAAGTCACATATGACCATCACATTTTATGTGGGTGATCCACATCATCCAATGTATATGATCTTTTCAATATTGGATGCTCATGCATCTACGTGAGTTTCATCAATTGCTCCAATACAATTCTATCAAATTAAATAAAGGTGTGATAGTCACACAAGTCATTTTGACGTTTGAATGAATATGATTTAATGTTTTAAAATAATTGCCTTAAAAAATAGCATATATTGTGGGTCATTTGCAATCTTTTTTGGATCGTCTCTAATGTTGTATTCTCTGACTTGATAATCTTTGCAGAAAAACTGATAAGAGCTTTCAAGCCCACTGAGAAATATCTGTTAATTATCTCTGATAAATGATGGAATAGCTCCATCGCTCCTTCCATTGATTCATTTTGTTATAAAATGTAGAGGGTTATTGCTAACACTTCTCTTGATGTCATTCTTGAGGAGCCTTGGAGTCCATAATGACTATGTAGTTCATCAAGCATATCCATAAATATAGTTTTGTCATACGAAACATGTTATTGAATCTTGTGGGTTGTCCTTGTAGTATCTCCCCAACTCATTTATCATAAATATAAGTGGACGCCATGCAAGGAGTTTGATCGATGTATGAGTTGTAGTATTCGTACAACAAAACTACTGCCGCCACAATCTTTCTTCTCAGGCTCTCTCATTGTAAGTTCATGATAAAGAAGTGTTTTGTTCAAGTAATATGTGTGAATCAGACATTAAAAAATATTTAAAATCTGAAGTTAAATTAAATTGACAGGAAAACCATGCCTCAAGTTAGAGATAGAAACCATAAGACCAGTTGCACCACCAACCCCCACCACAGCCATCATCCAACACCCACCACAACCCCCACCACAGACACCACCCAACACCCATCATGCCCACCAACCAACCCCCTACCAAAACCACCATCCACCCAACCCCCACCACAACTACAACCCAACCCCCACCATAGCCACCACCCAACCCCCTACCACAGCCATCATCCAACACCCACCAAAACCATCACCCAACCCCCACCACAGCCACCAAACAACCTCCCACCACAACCACTATCCAACACCCACCACAACCAGCAATCTACCCCCACCACAATCATCATCACAACCCCCACCATAGCCACTATCCATCCCCCACCGTAGCCTCCACCCGACCCCCACCACATATCCACAAACTTCCCACATTCATAAATGAAAAAAAAAAAAAAAAACTAAATGTAATTTTGAGATGATGCAATTACAAATAGGCCAACCGAGACAAAGCTATGAGCAAATGTAGCACCCTATCTCATCAATTTTTTGAAATTACTACTCAGACATCAAAGGAAGTTAAGAAACCCTAGCCCATATTTTTCATTTGGAGCAATTACATATGGGGTACCCCAAACATTGATATGTACAAATGAAGCATGCTCTTCCATCCAAGCTTCAGTTTCATAGTTGAAACATAAACAAAAAGGGATGTAATTTCGTGATGAGGTTCACAACAAGCACAGACTACTCAATGTTGAACCTTCACATACAAATGAAACATCAAATTCACTTGCCAAAAAACTACTCAATGTTGATTCATCATTCAAGCTAGTAGTAACAAGCCAAAGAAGTAGCAAGCCTATCAATTTTTTAAATAGGGTACAAATAAACCACCCAATTTCATCCATTTTTCACGCAGGATACCTGAAATAATGGCATGCACAAATTAAGCACCCGAGTTCATCCATTTTTCAAACAGGGCCCCATAAACGTTGCAAATGAAGCAACATCGAGCATCCATTCATGTTAATGATATTCAACAAATCAAACTGAACCTTTCGTCTGACATCGAACAAATTTCACATTTTTTTTTCGTTGCAAGATCCAAATCTAAAATTAATGACCGATAATGAGAAATCATAAATCACAAATCATCAATATGATGAAAATCTCACAACAAATCGAAAAACCCAGAGCCAAAAATCACATAAAGAAAGCCACCATTCCATCGACAACCGCATGAATTACTAACAGAGCAAAGTAATCAGAGCACCAAGTGAGAAGGCAGAGGAGAAGGACACTGAGTGAGAAGGCAGAGGAGAAGGGCACCGAGTGAAAAGGGAGAGAGAGACACATGAGCGAGATCGATCACACCTAGGGCAAGCGAGTCGAGAGAGTGTTTGTAGGGGGGTAAATGATCTGAAAAGGAACGCGGGTCGTGAGGTCAATCCCATGACCGCATTCAATCGAAAAGTCAATCAGAATATTAAGATAATCCTTTGTGACGCAATATCCATACGTGACCAGTCACATTTTCAAAACGCGCCCACACAATAAGCTGCCCCAAACGCACCCTTAATGGCTTAAGAAAAGATTGATCGCTATATCCTTTCCATTTTACTATCACACTTATCTTTTACCTTCAAGAGAAAGAGATCTATTCACGAAACTACTGCCCTATTTATAAAAAATATGCTTCTAACTACGATATCCCATTGTCAGATGTTTTGTTTGACATTATCAGGGTCAATTCTCTTATCGCTTACTCTCTTCAAAAGAATACTTTGATCTACTTAAATAAAAAAAAATGAGCATATTTAAATTTATATCAAATTCAACATAAATTAGTGAAATCTTAGTTCAGAAGACAAGTAAATTTCCCTTAAAGTATTTTGGATCACCTCTCATGGATAGGAGACTTTCAGCTAAATATCACTCTTCATTACTGGAGAAAATTCAAGCTGGGATAGTTAGAAATATACATTTATTTTAAATGTGCAGTCACTATCAATTGATTATTTTCTCTTTTAACAACAAGCTTATTGGTGGAGATCAATTTTTAGTCCAAAAATGCACTTTCTAAAAAATCACCTCCATAACCCTTCAATTTCTTTTTGATTGGGGCAATTTCAAAGGGTTTCAACTCATTTCTTGGGCTCAAACCTTTCTCCTTAGAAATTGCAAAGGTATTGTTTTATCCTCTATTTTTGCTCTCAACTAATCAATTAGCCAGCCAGGATTTTGGTAAACTATGGTTCTCTCTGGTCATATTTCCCCCTTTCTCCTTCTTAGAAAGAATGAAAAAAAAAAAAAAAAAAAAAAAACCAAAAAAAAAACATTGGTTTTCAAGATAAGCAACATAATGTATTATAGATGGATCTTTGGTTTCTTTTTTATACAACTCCTGGTTGGTTGGTAGATCTCTGCTTGTCATTTTGTATACAAGTACATTGAAATGTGATTCATCAACTTACATTTGGTTCAAATATTACTTTGTAAAATATGCTCTTTATTGTTGGATAACATATCTTGGTGGGCTAAATATTGCCGATAAATACACAGCATTTGCTTCAAACTTCAGCTATGAAATTTCTTCCATTATTTATTTTGGCCTATCCTTATAGCATGAAAGAAATGAAAAACATAAAGTGTCCCTAAAAACTCTTCTTGTTGTGATCATCTTTAATGCTGTAGGATGGAGCATGCACTCAATTCTCTCTTAATGTGTGAGCTTATTCCTCCTATGGGTGTTTGTCTTTTTGTGCCATTCATATAGATTTTTTTTTAGCCTTTCAATATGTATTTCTTTCTCCAAGTTTTTTACAATCTCATGCAATTGTTACTAATTTCTTCAGTGGAATATCATTAAACTAATACAAACATCAGAACTGAAATATATTTAACCCATCATTATCTTTGTTTTCTAGAGTTGCTACCTTCAGGCTAAGAAAGCAGATTCAGGCATGCACTGCATGACATAAGCTTGTAGTTTATACTACCCAAAAACCTGCCATTCCAGCTTTTTAGTGAGAAGGAAGCCTTCCATAAATTAGTAAAACTGCAGAAATCAAGGAGAGAACAACACCAGTAATAATAATAAAATAATAATAATAATCATAGTAATTTTAATGAAAAAAAATTAAGCAACAATGCATTCATAATGGATTGAGCTCAACATAATGCATTCATTTTGAGTTCTGAACTAAACCAAAATACAGTAACTTTGCGAACACGAAAACATAAAATAAATAAATAAAACATAAAGCAGTTTTTACATCATAACCAAACTGAACATTAAAAAAGAAAAAGAAAAAAAAAAAAAACTGTTTGTACGCAGAAGAGGCTCGTGGTAAATACCTGCCCTTAAATATTAGAGGGGAAGTTAAGTCACTTGAATCAGAATATTTGGCGTCTGTAGCTCATGAAACTACTATTTAACTAACCATCTTTTGAGACCTTACAGCAAACAAAACCACCACATCCTGCAGGCTTACAAAACTAGAATGTATAAGACAATTTTTGGAGCCTGCACCAAATCCTCTCCTGCATAATTTTTCCGCTGAAGAATGGAAATATGAAGAACAAATCACCAATTCCTGTCAAATTAGAATTTCATTTGAAATATCGAATCCTGCACAATCATACTGTCTGCTTAAAAAAACAGAAATATATCTATCTATCTATCTATCTATAATACTATATATATATATATATATATATATATACACACTAACCGTTAGCATACGGAGGAGTTACAGGCACAAAAGAAGATCAACACAACAATAGACCGATGGTAAATAAATCATAATAAATCCCTCCTTCCCCGTTCAGAAGAAAAAAAGGCTCCTAGTTTTTAAACTCACTAAAAACGCCTCCAACCCTGCAGCCACACAATTCACATGGACGCGAGAGCTGTGAGTAGTGATGACAGAAAGTTAGAGAGAGAGAGAGAGAGAGACCTACCATGCCTTGGCAAGACTTCTCCAATTAATATCAACTCATATTTGCAAGAGATTTAATGCTTAATATTCACTGTACAATATTTTCATTAAAAGACTTATGGAGGGTGTTCTAGTAAAACCTGACGCTATGTGAAATGGCCAGGAGTTGAGAGACAATTTCAGCAATATTCCCAGCCATGGGCAAAAAAATTTCTAAACAAGCCCAAAATTTAGCACTAATTCGAATTACAAAAGAATTTGGTAATACAATAAAGAAGCATTTCCCTGGGTGACTAGAAAGAGGGAGGTTCGCTGTAGGAGCTAAGGGAAGAAAAAATGTGTGGCAAACCATCTTTAAATTAGGAGATGAAATTGCTAACACCTGATCCCGAAGCAAAGCTGAATTTCCTCGGATTCACTGTCAAAAAATTAAAAAATAAAAAGAGTCAGGACATAAGAATCACATAGTTTAGTGCAATATACAGTTGTAAATCATTGGTAAACATGCAAAGTATTTTATATAAAATCCAAAGAGATGGATAGGGATGCAAAAGGTCCGTGATAAAAACAGGAAAAAAGAGAAACTATAAATTTTAGTATAAACAATAATTAGAGTCAAACAAGGTTCACTTTATTGGAAAAAAAATGATAAAATCATCATCATCAATATCCTTTACATGGAATCAGTTATATGAATTGATAGTTAATCATTCAAGATGAGTGTAATCTGTTGCAAATGATTTTAACCTTGCTTTTTTTTTTTTTTTAAATGTCTCTTAGGTTGGCTTTACTCTACTACCTTCCATATTCCTTTCCCACTATTACTATCTACTTGAATCAATGGTGAAAAACCCAAACCAACCAAGTCTACGCTATCTACCCAAACCAACCAAGTCTACGCTATCTATAATTGTTACATATTAGAATTTCTAATCGCCAGGACAATCTAAAATGATAATTTTAGACTCGATCATTCCTAACTTTGTCATATCCACTTCAACAGCCTAGCCCAACACTTATAAATGTTCTAATATAACAAAGATCCAAGAGACAATTTTAACCACCATTCCTTGACTTTCAAACTATATCCTCTTCCAAAATCTAATTCTTTTCTACGAGAGAATATTGGAATAAATCTTAAAAAACTTTTACTACTATTTATATTAGACATTTTTTTTTAAGGGTAAGGCCTATAGTGTCCATTGATAAGTAAAGGTTACTAAAAAGAGGTGCAAAAGGAACATCAAGCCTATCCCCCTTAAGCAAAAAAGACAAAGCAGTAGGACGCAAAGTATCTAAGAAGACAATTTGAGATGAAGCAGCCTCCTTGGCAAGCCGTCAACAGGTCTGTTGCCTTCTCTTGGTATGTAGGACCATTGGACACCGAGAAAATGAGAAATCTGAGCCATTTCCTTTGATGTGCCAATGAGAAGAGTTCAAGGAGGTGCAACATTTCCAAAGAATCAGAGAATCCATTCCATCACAAGGTTGCTCTAATGAAGGGAAGAGACAATATTGAGAGCAGCCAGAACAACCTCAGCCTGAAGAGGGAAAGCGGCAAATGTAGGGACTGAGAACACGAGTAATGCTGTGCCAGTGTGATCCCTGAAAACTCCCTCAATGCCAGCATTAGTACCAAAGAAACTACCATCAATATTAAGCTTGATCCAATTGAACTCAGGTTTCCTCCAATAAATCAGCTGAGGTAGCTGCCTAAAAGTCTTAACTAGTCTGATAATGTGCTTGGAAAAAGGATGTAGAGCAGCCATAAAACTTTCTTTAATCCCACCATGCTTGATCACCTTCTGAAGATGGGCGTGAATATACAAAAGGTTGCATTAGGACTCTCCCAATGACCATTCTCATCATGTTTCATATAGTACTTAGCCAGCCAAATAAACCAATTGATCAATATAGGGAGAATTATGATAACAGAATTAGTAGTTTGAGACTAATCCTGCCAACAGTTCCTAACAGAATTATAATTCCTCTCAGGCATATCAGCTTTCAGCAAATTAGCAAAATAGCTCCAAAGCTCCAAAGTCTACCTGAAAGATGGAAATATGTGAGAAAGGGATTTCTCCTCACCTCAACACAAGAGGCAAATGGAAGGAAGTATAAGACCCCTGAGCTTGAGTATGTCATCAGTGGGTATAAGAGAGTGCATAGTTCTCCAAGTAAAGAATGATATAGATGGTTTCAGAAAAGAGTTCCACAGCCACTTATAATTCCTGGACAGAGAGGCTGCTGAAGAGTTAGAGCAATGGACTTGGAGGTTGTAGTTTCAACATTTCCTTTGAAAATCAATTTATCCTTGCTGCAAGGATCAAAAGGAGTTCTGCAAATGTAGGTAGCATCCTGTTTGGCTACAATATTGCCAAGTTTAGTAGAATCCCATCTTCCATCAGTCCGCCACTCACCCACTGTGATATTGACGTCCATAAGCCCACCATCAAGATGAGCAAGAGGCCTCAAAAAAGTCCAATCATCAAACAAGAAGCTCATCTTGCCATTATCCCAATGGATAAAATCTTCAAAAAAATCCCTACGGTGAATCATTTCCTTCCAAACAACTGAGTCTGTGTTCTGAATTGTGCAAGCCAAGGGTGAGCCTGACCACAATTGTTTCTTCTCATAAGAATGGCCCAAAGAGAGTTATTTGCCCGAAATTTAATCCAAAGCTTCATCAAATTAATCTTCATAGATGCTCAAAGGACCTAAAGCCCAAACCCACATGATTAACAGGCTTTCTTCCAATTTACCCAATGAATCTGAGAGGAATTACCACTCCAAAGAAATTTGTTGAACAACCTCTCCAATCTTTTGAACAATAGTTTTGGGCATTTTTAGAGATTTGCATGGAATAAAGGGGTATAGCGGTAAGGACCTTTTTTGAAAGAGTAATTTTACCCCCATAGGAAAGAAAACTATTCTCCCATGACAGTAATTTAGCAGTTACATTATGGAAGATTACCTCAAACAAATAGCATTTCTTCTCCTTACTGATTTGAACACCAAGGTATGATATAGGTAAGCAGTGCCTAGTGAAGCCAGTATAATCAACTATCCAATGTCTTCTGGTTAAATAATCTGCTTTACCAACATAAAACCCACATTTGCTCTTGTTAAAAACCATCACATACACCTGCTCAAAATGCTGAAATACATCACACGCCTTCTTAATAAGATGCTTTGAAGCATTGGTGAATACAATTAGATCATCTGAATAAGCCAAGTGAGTGATCAGTAAGCTTTGCTGCTATAGAACATGTGGGGATGATTGGAGAATAGCACTTGTAAGCTTATGGATAAATAGTCAAAGGCCAAGATAAAGAGAATGGGGGAGAGAGGGTCTCCTTGTCTGATACCCCATAGAAGCATTCAAGTGCCCATGCTTTGCACCATTAATGATTATAGAAGAGAAATTATATTCAAGGAGCAGCTAAATGAGAGAACCCATGGCATGAAGCACATTAATGATGTAATCCCGAGATGGTATCATAAACCTTCTTAATATCCATCTTCAAAATCAGAATACTTCCCCGACATTGTTTATACACGTCCAAATTTAATTCTTGATTGATCAGGGTGTTGTCAGTGATGTTTCTACCTTTAAGAAAGGCAGCATGGTATGGGCTTATTATGTTATAGAGGTGGGGCTGAATCATAACAACAATAATTTTGCTAATTATGTTGGATACCACAGTAGAAAGACTAATAGGCCTGTAATCGGACCAATGACCAGCAGTTTGAGCCTTATGGATTAAAGCAATAGCTGAAGATTTAAAATAACTGTGAATATCTTGGCCAGTGAAAAAAACCTGGATAGTAACATTTGTAGAAAAGAGCACTAAAACTATCAGGATCTGCTCTCTTGGAGCTATCAATACTAATAACAGCCATATGAATCTCTTCCACATTTGGTGTACCAGTTAAATGAAGGCTTGAGACAAAGATCTTGCTAGCATGAAACAGTTCCAGATTAATCTATTGGAGACCCTGATTATGAGCAGAAAAACATACTGGAAATAGTTAATCCCAGCATCAACAATGTCCTTCCTGTCAGTAACCCAATCCCTATTTTGGTTCTTGATCCTGGCAATGGCATTTACGCGTTTCCTTTTTACGAAAGCATGAAAATACTTTGTATTTCTATCCCCATCAGCAAATTTGTGCCCGTAGCTTTCTGGCTTAATAAGTTCTATTACAAGTTAAAAACATCAATAAGACTGTTTTATGCTTATGCGAGCACTTCAAGAAGATTCTATCATTACAATAATCCTCTTCTTTCAAAATAACCAAATCTTCAGACTGCTAAACTTTCTAATGGACAATCCCAAAAATATCCCAATTCCATTGCTTTAAAGCTCTAGAAAGACCTTTATGAAGCTGCCAAAGTCTGAAACATGGATTGCCAACCTGCTGACAGGTCCAAGTAGTCCTAACAAAGTACAAAAAAGATTGATTAGTGGTCGACATATTGCAAAATCTGACAGGTGTGTGCTCAGGTTTGGGAGTTTCCTCAAATGACAATAAAATAGGTGAGTGGTCTGATGCTGTTTTAGATAGGTGTTGGATTTTATAATGTCTATAAGCATCCATCCACAAAGTATTAGCTAGAAACCTATCCACCCTTTCAAAAAGGGTGCCTCTGCTCCAAATAAACATAGAACCAGAAAAACCCAGGTCAAACAAATGGGGATCTTGAATAATATCTGCAAAAAGGTTAATCAATACTGATTAGGTGCCCTGCCCCCCTTCGTCTCACAGCTGGAAGATATTATGTCGAAATCCCGACCAAAAACCCAAGGTTCCTGGCAAGTTTCCCAAAAGTATTTCATATAATTGCATAAAGATCTCCCATCCTCCTTGCAGTAGCCTACACATACAAAGGTGAGTAGAAAGTTGAAAGTGATATTTGATTCCAAAAAGGATGAGCTGCACTTCATTTTCCTGTACTTCCGCATCTACAGAATTTCTCCAAAGAAAACCTATTTTGTTGGTTTTAGAAGAAAAGTTGAAATTACCGACCCTCCTCAAATATCTGAAGTTATTCTCCACAGCCGCCAAAGGCTCCAACGTAATCTTATAAGATTTTTAAATCTATTATAAGCATTAGAATTAGCAATGCCCCTTATATTCCATATAAAGAAATTAAATATCATTAAAAACAAGTTCTTTTTACCCTTTAGTGTCCCTTAGAAGAGTAGAAGCATATAGGGACTGTTGGTGATTCTTCATGTGGGTTGAAGTCAATGGTCCATTTGAGGACTTTCATAGTGATTCCCTCTATGTATAAAGTCTTTCTAGATAAAATTAGAACGTAGTCCATCACCTTTCCAATTTTTTTCATAACGTGCCTTCCATCTAGTAAACCAACATTTCAATCACCTTCTAGCTTCAAATCAGCAAAAATTT